TTTCTCCAAAAAAGAGGAAGTTGACGTTAAATGACACTGAAGAAGACAAACATGGTTTTTATGGGACCAACTCAAAGACTTCCAGAGCTGCGCCATGTCGTAAATTTGCTCTGTCTTTTGAAACGGGATCTCTTGACAAGTTCAAAAGGTTGTTTGGGAAGGGTGCTGAGAAAAAACAACCAAGTACGGAAAAAACAAATCTTTTAAATCCAGTGTCTTCTCAAAAATCCAATGACTGCTTTGTAGGAACTACTTGGTGTTTAGAAGATTTAGACAAGCCCTTATTGAGGAACATATCAGGTGCTCATTCTCAATATAGTTCTGAATGTTCTGCTGAATCTTCATCATGGAACAAGGCAGACAAACTGTCATTGGCTGCCAAATGTTCCTATTTAAAACAAGACAAACAGACATTCAGCAAGGTCAGCAGAAATACAGACTTTCTTACTATGGAAAATTCATCTTTCCCAGTTGTGGAAGACTCACACATTCAAGAAGAGTCCTGTGAATTAGAAAAAAGCCTCTTAGAAGATGTTTTATTTGGATCCACTGGAACTGTTGATTCAGTTGTCCATGAAACTCCAATCTTCACTCTAAATGAGCAGGACGCAACAATACCGGACACTTCCTGCGTTTTAGAAGACTCACACCTCTGCAACAAAAATGTGACTTCCTTTGTAGGAAGTGTGAACTGTGTTAATGAAGCCAGCGTAACCTCTCAGCATGATCCTCAGTGCAGCAACACAGGAAATGAAGGTCAGGCTACAAATGAATGTGTTGAAACAATCCCAATGTCCAGCAGCTGGCTGGCTCATTATGACAGTTGGTTAGGAAAGCTGGTTTACATCAACCAAGTTACAGGGCTCAGCAAATACAACTCTCCTCCTGTGGAGGAGACTCAAGTGCCATGTACTACAGATGTCACTAACATGGCAGTCAGTGTTATTTCAAGAACAGGTGGGAGAAATTCAGTGAGCCATTTTTGGGTCACTAATGTAGAGGTATTTATATTATAATCAGCTTCTCTTTGCTCATAGGATTTGAGTACAGGTGTTATCCATTTCACACAGACATTGTACTTCCCTTTCTGCCCAAGCCCAGAGCAGAAAGAGCCCTTAACTCAGGGATAGACAGCAGAGGTATAGCTCTAGACTGACATCAGGAATGAAATCAGCTTTTTAGTGCACATTAAGTAATTGTTTTTCATCTTACTCTTTTAAGAGGATGGCCAAGGTCCCGATTCACTATCGACTTTATTCTCAAAATGGAGTAACCCAGTGTTCATACGGCCTCCAGAGGTAAAAAGACTACTAATTTAATAAATTAAATCATTTAAAGATTTTTAAATTAATTTAACCTTATTTAATACTTTTAATTCATGTAAGGCCGTTTTTGTTAAGATTCAAATGATTGTACTTCCCTTTCTGCCCAAGCCCAGAGCAGAAAGAGCCCTTAACTCAGGGATAGACAGCAGAGGTATAGCTCTAGACTGACATCAGGAATGAAATCAGCTTTTTAGTGCACATTAAGTAATTGTTTTTCATCTTACTCTTTTAAGAGGATGGCCAAGGTCCCGATTCACTATCGACTTTATTCTCAAAATGGAGTAACCCAGTGTTCATACGGCCTCCAGAGGTAAAAAGACTACTAATTTAATAAATTAAATCATTTAAAGATTTTTAAATTAATTTAACCTTATTTAATACTGATTTTAATTCATGTAAGGCCGTTTTTGTTAAGATTCAAATTAATTTGACTCACATATTCTATTAATTATTCTGAAAAGGTTGCTGTGGATGTAACCAGCGGTCAAGCTGAGGGTCTTGCTGTAAAAATCCACAATATTCTTTACCCCTACCAGTTTACCAAGAATATGATCCACACAATGAGAGTAAGTATTTTTACCCCTCTGCTCATTTTGTGCTTTGAGGAACTGGCAAGGCTAGACACTTAAAATAGCAATGTCACAAAGCATAGCCTTATTCTTATGTGGTGAAAATTAACCTAAGGTTGTGTTGTATTTTTACATCAGGTCATCAATCAAGTGGACAAGAAGTTCCTTGCTTGTTTGATAAACACAACAGAGCAGGAAGCCTCTGAAAGCTGTACAAATGAAGGTGCTGCAGGCTGAAAATCATTATGTTGAATGGTGTGATGATGTCCTAAACATTTGTCATTGTTTCCACCTGCAGGAAATCTTCTAGTGTTGGTTGATCAACATGCTGCCCATGAAAGAGTTCGACTGGAGGGGTTGGTAACAGGTAAATGCTAATGATATAAGGGTTAAACGGTACCTTTCAAAAGTTTGGGAGTAGTATGATTTGTGAAAGTAAGAAATTGATACTTTATACTGCAATGTTTCATAAATTAAATAAAAGTAACAGTAATGACATTTATATATATGTGTGACACTGGAGTAATGATGCTGAAAATTCAGTTTTACCAACACAGGAATAAATTGCATTTAACTTATATAAAAACAGAAAACATTGTAATAATGTTTCATAATATTATTATTATTTTAACTCCTTTCAAAAATTTTGAAAAATCTTACTGACCCCAAACTTATAGGAATAGAAGAACAAAATAAATTCCATGTAAAAGCATCAAAAATGCAAATACACTTCAAGAGATGTACGTAAGCATTCAGTGTATTTTTCCCACACTGCTTGTTGTTTGATGTAGACTCCTATGAGGATGACCCAGACACACCTGGAAAAAAAAGGCTGTGTTCTTCAAGTGTAATCCCACCCTTAGAGATTAACGTAACCGAGGAGGAATTGAGACTTCTGAGGTCAGTGCAGCTGTTTGAGCCAACATTCCTGTTTCCACCGTCATCTTCTCTCTGAAACGTACACATGTGTTCAATTAGTTCTGCACCTTCGCCGAACAGTGCCATAAATCTTTCTTTTGTTCTTGAAGGTCTTGTCAGGCCTTCCTGAGGGGTCTTGCTTTAGATGTAAGTTTCCCAAAGAGTGAGTCACTGAATGTGTTTTTGGAGAGACTTCCCACATGTTTCATAGAGAAAGAAAGCACAGAGCTCCGCCGTGGAAGACGGTCGGTCATTAAAACCATTGCAGAGGTCAGACTTAGTTCTAATGTTTTTTTTGTTGTTATTAATTTCAACTCAGTTTAGACTCGAATTGTATATTTTATTTTGTAGGACTATCTGCGAGAACACATTGAGGTGAACAAGCATATCCACACATGATTTGTATCTAATCTGTGAACAGAATATTACAAATGGTCTGATTTTGGAGCTTGAAGGATACATTTATGACCAGTTTTGTTCTTTTGACTCATGTTTGCAGCTTCTCCGCTCAACAGGAAGAGTGAGGGGAATGCTGCCTTTGACAGTTCATAATGTTCTTGCCTCACAAGCTTGTCATGGTTGGTATTATAAATTCACCACTGAGTTCAGTTGAAACACATTCTATTAAGAAACTGTTACAGGGAACACAGGAAATGTCTAATTTTTTAACTTATGTAGGGATATTTATTTGCTATAGTTAGCATTTTCAAAATATTCTTATTTTATTCATAAATATTCATATTTTATAATATCTAATATAATCTGTTTTAACAGGAGCAATTAAGTTCAATGACATTTTGAGTAAAGAGGAGTGCTGTAGTCTGGTGAGCTCGCTCTCCTCTTGTCAGCTTCCCTTCCAGTGTGCTCACGGAAGACCTTCAATCGTCCCTTTGGCTGATCTTCACCACCTGGAAGAGCCACAGGTATGTTTCAACTAATCTGCAACAAATCTGATTTTGTAAGTGCACTTTTTTGTCAATTATAAACAGGTTTGAATATCATAAGTACTGATAAAGCATATAATGATCAGCCATAGCACATTATATATATATTCATATATTTTTAAAATGTTTTTCTTTGATAGTTTCATTTTTATATCCCCACAGGATCTTCCCAAGCCAAATCTGAGGAAATTGAGAAGAATGTACAAGTCATGGCTGCTCTATGGACAAGATCAATCTATTGCACAAAACAAAACATGAATTTACAAGCACTTTACGCTTTTGCATTAAATTATTTAATTTAAAAGAAATAGTCTGCTTCTGTCAATTGCTGGGCGGCTTTTTATTATGTTTCACCCTTTGGCGCATACACTGCTCTGAGATAGAGTAGCCAATAATAAAGGACTATACTCGAGCTTGGAGTGCTTTCCTCCAATCGAATTGATTCTTGCAAGGTTGTGGTCCAATCAACGTAAACGTAGGAGGGCGCTAAAATGGTTGACGTTCCTCTGCAGATCATTGTTGTGCATTCATTGCGATGATCGCTGGAAGGGGCGGCAGGGAGGTCTCGCGTAAACGATAACAAAGTAGTACTTTATAGGTGAGTTTTACACGTAGAAATGACCAATTATAACGTATTAAAACCGTCTCAGACTAAACGGATGATATACATTGATTAATATCAGTTTAAGCCTATATATATATATATATATATATATATATATATATATATATTCATATATTTTTAAAATGTTTTTCTTTGATAGTTTCATTTTTATATCCCCACAGGATCTTCCCAAGCCAAATCTGAGGAAATTGAGAAGAATGTACAAGTCATGGCTGCTCTATGGACAAGATCAATCTATTGCACAAAACAAAACATGAATTTACAAGCACTTTACGCTTTTGCATTAAATTATTTAATTTAAAAGAAATAGTCTGCTTCTGTCAATTGCTGGGCGGCTTTTTATTATGTTTCACCCTTTGGCGCATACACTGCTCTGAGATAGAGAGTAGCCAATAATAAAGGACTATACTCGAGCTTGGAGTGCTTTCCTCCAATCGAATTGATTCTTGCAAGGTTGTGGTCCAATCAACGTAAACGTAGGAGGGCGCTAAAATGGTTGACGTTCGTCTGCAGATCATTGTTGTGCATTCATTGCGATGATCGCTGGAAGGGGCGGCAGGGAGGTCTCGCGTAAACGATAACAAAGTAGTACTTTATAGGTGAGTTTTACACGTAGAAATGACAAATTATAACGTATTAAAACCGTCTCAGACTAAACGGATGATATACATTGATTAATATCAGTTTAAGCCAAGAGTATCTTACCCTCCCAATTCAAAGATGGCCGAACAGCAGTACTGACGTGTGAATTTGGCGCTTTCTGCATGAGATTAAAACGTCAATCTTCTTTATCTCTTGTAATGTTTGAGGACTTGCAGCTTCTATTATGTGAACGTTACCGTTTTTTGCTAATCCAGAGTTAAAGAAATTAATATTTGAATGCTTGTGGCGATTGCAGTGTATGGCACACGTGCTTTAACGGAATCTGAACGCATCACATGTTACGCTGTGTAACGTTACAGTGAAGTCTGAACGCTATCGTGTTATGTTAAAATGTTACATTAGCCTAAACAGGGCAGTGTTTATCTTCAGTAGATTTGCGTAATTCTGTTGTATGCTGCATTTTGGACCTTTTTGGTCACTTTACATTTAAATACAGTCATGGCAATGAAGTGCATCATCCATGTGGTCTGTAAAGGGAGTGTAAGTATTAGGTCATGAAAAAATGTTGATGTATATTTAATAAAATGGTAAAAGTTATTTTAAAAAAAATCTAGAATTAAAATCTATAATTTCATGGTTATTCTCTATTAAGCTCTCATCCATGTGGTCTGTAAAGGGAGTGTAAGTATTAGGTCATGAAAAAATGTTGATGTATATTTAATAAAATGGTAAAAGTTATTTAAAAAAAATCTAGAATTAAAATCTATAATTTCATGGTTATTCTCTATTAAGCTTGGTTAATTTCTGCAGTAATGTTGAACTAATATTATGCTGTCTGTATTTGATTGGCTTTCTCATCGCATCAGTGATGAACAGGATTCGGATCCACGTGTTGCCATCCAGCAGAGGCCGAGTGACTCAAGCTGCTCGTGCTCAAGAGCCTCAGACCTGCTCTTACACCCAGAGACCCTGTTCACAGCCTCGTCTGGAGGGCCTAGAGTTCTGCATCAAACATGTACTTGAAGATAAAACTGCTCCCTACAGGCAATGCAGCTATGTGTCTAACAAGAATGGCAAGCGCTGCCCCAATGCAGCCCCAAAACCAGAGAAGAAGGATGGGTAAGGGTGTTTGTTTATTCCCTTAACATGCTTACTACCTACTATAAATAATTGACCAATAATGTTGTTTTTCTTTTTCTTAGGGTATCGTTCTGTGCTGAACATGCACGCAGAAATGCTTTGGTTCAGCAAGCGCAAATGCGGAAGGCATCTGCCTCAGGACCTTCCCCTGAAGTCTTGCTGTCTCAGCTCAGTGGCTACAGTCGGCCGGAAACTGGAGCTCACAGTCAAGAGGGCCGTAGTGAAGCTAGTCGCATACTAGGTGAGATGTAACTTGCGTCTAATCATGTGCCATTAATTATTAACAGGCATGCTTTTGGCCTTGTGAACATTGAGAAATCACTTTAAAGTCTTGATGTGATGCAAACAAACTTGTGCATGTGTGAACTGACCGCTACTGTGACATTTAATGTGTAAAGTGTATTATGATTCAAAATGGAAATGCTTCTCTGAAACAGAATGCAGCTTATTAAATAGCATAAACAATAAATGTAGTTTCTTGCGGTCTTAAAACTTGCATCAAAGGCTGATAACTAATAGTTTGTAATTTATGTAATGTCTCCATTTGTAATTTTCAGCAATTTTTCTTTTTTTAAATTTATTTATAAAAATAGAGCGTTACTAAAATAAGTCATATTTTGTATTATTTAGTATTTGGTGGAACATTTAATAGCTCTGAACATAACGGAATAAAATAAAAAATTCTGTAAGAGACGCAAAGTTGCATGTAATTTGTTATGGTGATATATTCTATATGTATTTCCTTGTATAGATGAGGAGAGTTGGAGTGAAGAGGAGCAGGATCCTGTTGTTTTGGATCAGACATGGAGAGGAGACCCCGACAGTGAAGATGAAAGTCTTGACAGTGACCACGAAGACCCTTTAAAGTGAGACATTACTCCGTTTTATTTTACTTAACTGCTTTGTCAAATGTAGTTTTATTTATGTCACCTGAGATGTCAAATAATGAAGCGTGACATTCTACAGGCATGCGGGTGTGTACACAGCAGAGGAAGTGGCACTCATCACACGTGAAAAGCTAATCAGACTTCAGTCCCTCTACATTGACCAATTTAAACGTCTGCAACATTTATTAAAAGAAAAGAAACGGCGCTACCTGCACAGCCGCAAAATTGAACATGAGACAATTGGTAAGGGAGCTGCTGTCATTTTTTGATTTCATGATGTCACATATTCAGTCAGCATATATACTCACTTATGTGCTGTGATACAAGGGAGCAGCCTGTTAACGGGTCCAGAGGGGCTGTCCACAAAGGAACGAGAGAACCTGAAAAAATTAAGGGCTCTACGACGCTATCGCCGTCGCTATGGTGTGGAGGCTTTGCTGCATCGCCAGCTCAGACAGAGAAGACAAGCGATTACTGAGGGAGGAACGCCACAGGTATGAATGGACTTTCTAATAATGTCTTAGTTTTTTTTTCTGTCTTAAGAAAGACAAAAGAAGATTTAAACACTGCCATATGAGACAGACCTATTTGAAATTTTATTGGCTTTCCCATACTGTCAGTCTGAGCCTACTGTCACGCTCTGTTATTTTTTATTAATGTTATTTGTGCATATTTTAATTCTCTTGTGTGTTTTATTTCTGCGCAGGCAATGCGTTTGGGCCAGAGATGTATTTCCTTTGTGGAAGGGACTCGCTGTTCAAATCCGTGTTTGCCAATGACGCGACACTGTGTCTCTCGTATCCTTTTATGTCCGATATATCTTTAAATGTTCAGGTCTATTAAAAAAAAATGTTCACTCAATATTTTAGTACTGTTACCACTTCTATTACATACACACAAAACACACTACCATTGAAAAATTTGGTGTTGCAAGTTTTTTGATAGTCTCATGTTCACCAAGGCTGCATTTATTTGATTAAAAAAACAGTAAAACCTGTGATGGTCAAGCTTAATTTTCAACAGCCATTACTTAAGTCTTCAGTGGCACATTATCCTTCAGAAATCATTCTTATATGCTGCTCAAGAAACATTTCTTCTTATCAATGTTGAAAACAGCTATGCTGTCTCCTTACATTATACATGCATATTTGCAGGATTCTATAATGAATATGAACTTAATTGAAATATGAATGTTTTGTAACATTGTAAATGTCTTTACTGTCACTTTTGATCAGTTAAATGCATCTTTGCTGAATAAAAGTAATTTCTTTAAAAAAAAAAAACCTTACCAACCCTAAACTTTGGAATGGAAATATGCACATTTATTTAGTTATATGTTAAATATACATGTATTTTTCTTTGTTTATATGAGCATACATCTATTTAGATGTATATATGCACTTGTAGCCCTGAATGAAGGCCCACAGCTTGCTGTAGCTGTTGGTTTCAAACAGCGGCTGATATAAAAGTCTTCTTTATGGTCTGTTGACTTTCCCAGTGTTATCTAATGGATGAAGTCGATTCAGTTCAAAGGAACAGTTCAAGTTTTCCCACCTCCTCCAGCTTTCCATATCTTTGACATTTAAAAGATATTTCACAGTTATGCCAATGCTAGTTCTCTTAATCTTCTTAACCCTTCACAATAGACATTTATCAAGACAGTAGCCAAGTTTTATTCAAAATGTGCCCTGGTCTGAAAGACGTTCCATGTGATCGGCCTGTGCACATGGGACAGTCAGAAGACCCCCGCTGTCCTCTGCACCTGTCCCTGCCTGCACCCATGTACCAGCCTGAGCAGGAGTCTATTGCCCCGGAACAGCTGGCGTCTGTACCCACAGATATGTACCTCAGTGCAGCAGAGCTCCAGCCAACAGAAAATCTACCTCTGGAATTCAGTGATGTATGAATTGTGTTGGTTTTTCATTAAAACTAAAGTCGCTGTGTGCAGTTGCTTTCCTCATGTGTTTTGGCATATCCCTTCACACTAAGTTTCATATTATCAGAGCAATTAACTCCGCAATCTGCACTAAATTTGTTCACCAAAACACCTTGCTCCCTCTTCAGATTGCTAAATTATCCATCAAGTATCTACATGCCTGCAAACAGTGCTGCTCAAACATGTCCCCTGCTGTGTAAATCATATCTCATAGCCTCACATGAATGAAAAACAAATTAATCTGGATGTTCAGCAGTAATCTTCCTTTAATTTTGTGTCTGACATTTTCTGAATGCCCACAGTAAAACCTCTAATTTAAGCTTGTTTTTGGAAACATCTCATTTTCCTGTTATGCTACAAACTATTTATGTGCTTTTTCGTTACATGTTCCCATTGCTTGCTTTTCAAAAACACAAACACTATTGCTAATTTACCCATATTGCTGGTTTTTGTTTGCTGGTTATTTGGCTGTTGACAACAGAATGCAATGTTGACATGTTTAGTAGTATTTAGATGTACTGTAAATTAATGGACTTTAGTTTGAAGAATTGTGCCATTAATTAAGATTCATAAAAGAAGAGGTTAAATGAAAAAACATTATGGAATCTCAAAATAATCCAATGACCATTCGTATTATATTTAACATATTTTGTTTTGGATATAAGTTTGATTTTTTTTTTAGCACATCATCAGTGCACAATATTTTGATTCATTTCAGTTATCTGCCAATATTAGAGAGCAGTTGATGTTAGACATTTTGTCCTATTTGATTTACATTTTCTGTAATTTTTAATCTTTAAAATCACTAATATTTTAATAACACTCAATTGTAACCTTTAGCAAATCTCAAAATATCAATTTGTTCGTATTGCACATTGTAATGGAGTGATGTATAAATACACTTGTAGCATTTAAAACTATTTTGAATGATTTGTTAAATTTGTGAAAAAATAGCATTTTGAACTTTAATATCAGCAATTTCTTAATTATTGGCCATAAAATTATCCAGATTTATCACTGTTGTAATTAAAGTCTGTTGATGTGCAGGATCTTGACGTTGAAGATGAGGGTTTGCAGTGTCCCCCGTCCCCCTTGCTATTCGACACAGCACTTGCATTAGAAGACCAGACCATCAGAGAGATCGCCGAGGCCCCTATGGACATTCTGACAGGGGTGGAGCAGGGCGATCTGGACTGCTCTGCCCAAGATGCTGAGCTCTCAGAGAGAGACGAGGTGTCTGTGGAAGATCAGGTAATTATCACTGTGGCTTGTTGGAATAATTAAACAATGCAACCAAAGCAGTATGTCTGTTCCTTGCCATGGCATTTAAGCACCAGAACTACGGTCTTGTTTTTCAGGTTGAATCTGAAATACTTGAAGCAGTTGGACAAGCAGTTTCCTTGCAGAATTCATCAAAAGACTTTGACACGAAAACAAAAGATGCCTTATCCTGAGCACCTCGTGACCTGATTTTCTCAGCTGTTGTTCTGTTGATATTTCAAACAGTCCAGATATCTATTTAAAAGCCATATTTCTGGAAGTTTGCTTTGATTGCTGAAACATTTTTAACCTAGCATTCTCATTACTTAAAATAGCACAATGGCACATGTTCTGATATAGACTGCAAGTGTCTTGTGAAATTAAAAGGACAGTTATATGCACAGTTGGAAGTTTGTGTTTTGTAAGGTAAAGATGAAGTATGTATTTCACTACAAAAGTCTCTAAGCACCATCTCCCCTTCTATCAAGCACATTTCTGGTTCCATATGATATTCATGACTCATATGCACTTGTAGCCCTGAATCAAGGCCCACAGCTTGCTGTAGCTGTTGGTTTCAAACAGCGGCTGATATAAAAGTCTTATGGTCTGTTGACTTTCCCAGTGTTATCTAATGGGTGAAGTCGATTCAGTTCGAAGGAACAGTTCAAGTTTTCCACCTCCTCCAGCTTTCCAAATCTTTGACATTTAAAAGATATTTCACAGTTATGCCAATGCTAGTTCTCTTAATCTTCTTAAACCTTCACAATAGACATTTATCAAGACAGTAGCCAAGTTTTATTCAAAATGTGCCCTGGTCTGAAGGACGTTCCATGTGATTGGCCTGTGCACATGGGACAGTCAGAAGACCCCCGCTGTCCTCTGCACCTGTCCAGTTATAGGACAGTTATATGCACAGTTGGAAGTTTGTGTTTTGTAAGGTAAAGATCGGGTATGTATTTCACTACAAAAAGTCTCCAATAAGCACCATCTCCACTTCCCCACTAATGACTCATACTGAGATTTCTCTAAAATAAACCTTTACAACTCATCTTGTTCTTGTTAATTATAAATTTGCACTCATAAAAGGGGCTCCTCTGGGATAGTCAGGATTCCCACGGTCTTGGAAAACCTAGAAACATCAGGGAATTTTTATCTTCAGAGTAATGGAAATATTTATAGTGGATATACATGGTTCTAGTAATGAGCTGTTCTGTGTGTGGGGTTGAACTCGATTGCAAACACGGTTTGATTCGCGAGCGAACAGTTCTTTTGAGTTCTTTTTGTTAAATCAGACAAAGGAGTTTACAAAAAGAGTAATACATTAGTGAACTGGTCTCAAAACTGATTTTTAAAGAATCTGTATCCAGTAAACAAATGACTGGAAAGGTTGGGAATTGGTCAAAAAGCGAGAACCCTGGACAATGAAATAGTGTCTTGGTGTTGAACATTTACTAGTTGCTTTCCAAGCTGGAAAATTAAACTGGTAGTTGTGTTTTGGAGCATTGTAGCTGTTAAATACAAAACGGACCTAGTTGAAAATAACATTGATCTCTATGTAATTATATCAAATAAATAGTAGTTTTATACACTTAAAGGAGTAAAATGAAAACACATGCTAAAGATTGGCCACAGAACATCAAATTGCATGTCAATCTTGACATAAATAAAGCTGAATCGCTGCTTGGTCAGATCATGATTAATGAAATCACTGCAGATGCGTAGCGGGGAAAAACCGCGATGACAGCGTAGCTTAATAAAATAAACTGCGTTAGCAAATAAAAAAATACCACTAAATAAGAGAAATGTATAAGTCAAGGCTATAAATGAAAACTTGCTTTAGATAACGCTACGTGGAGCACAAGATAGGCCCTTTTACTAAAAGTGGGTCGGGCAACAATTTCAGGCCATGACATCACGTTTCCTGCGAGCGCTTTAACCTAAACACGAGAAGAGACGACGATACAACTTCTCATCAGCGCCTGCGAAAACAGATCAACATGTCCACAAGCTGCGAATGTAAAAGTACAGTTCAAGGTGTTTCTTAGCGATATTCATCGGGGATATTTTCACACCTTCCGAAACAACACAAGGATCCCGAGGTAAAAGATTCTTTTTTTCCCAGACATCGCGCGCACTGTTTGACGTTTACGTGTCGAAAGTGGGCTGATTTTGCAAAATGCAGTGTATTATAGACATAGAGGGGTTTGTTGTGGTATTAAATGTTGATGTGCGCGGTGCGAGATTGGAAAGGGAAATGTGGGGCATTAGCCATCCGGCTATCTGGGACACCGGTGGGATTGTAGACTGAGGATGCTTGTTGTGATCCTGCTTTGCTCAGAAATGCATCGCGCTTAGCTCTTCAAATCACCAGTTCTGCCACAATCGACTTCTTTTGAGTTTGCTTCGTATATAAACAATTTAATTCGTGTGTTTTGCATGGCAGCGCACAAAAATCACAATAATCCGATTTTATCCTAAGCCTTTGCATCAGTTTTCCCCGGATCCTTGTGTTTTATGTAGTTAAAGCTATAGCCCTTCCTCTTTCTACAGCATAGCGAACGCCTATTCTTAGTTACACACTTTGGCAACCCGAAACTTTTGTGTTTACTTGTGTGTGTGATGAGAATGCAGACTGCATTGTAAAATTGCTAATTTTGGCAGTTCATTCTGCTTGAGACCCTAAAACAGCAACTCATTTAAGAGTAATTGAGGGTAAAAGCATGCCCCCAGCCCCTCCCCTTTAATATTTTACAGATGTTTTTCACATTTGCTAGTCCCATGTTCAAAACCATGTTAAGACTGGCTTACAACCTACAATTCTCCTACATTTAAAGGGGTCATCTGATGCGATTTCAATTTTTCCTTTCTCTTTGGAGTGTTATAAGCTCTTGGTGCATAAAGAAGATCTGTAAAGTTGCAAAGACTGAAGTCTGAAATCCAGTGGCGGGCCGTGCATTTTACACCTAGGCCTTCAGTGGCGTCCTACATGAATTAAACCATCTCTTCATACCATCATAATGATGCCACGGCTATAGAAACCATAAATATTACACAGTAATGCAGTATAACAGGGCACTACATAACAGACAGGTATCTTATGTAGCGAGAATTAGTGCCATTACTAAAGAAAGAAACCCAATTAACAATTGGGCAACACGGAAAAGACCGGTTCATACAGCTCCACTCGGGAAACTCAGATATTTTAACGGAAACTTAAACCTGGCTTTATATCACACATATAACATCAGCATACAACACATCAAGCAATAAAAGAGCCAAAAATGAAAATTACCCTACCATACTCTAGTGGTTTTTCATCTTCACGAGTCTTTCACAGAGCCGGTGCCGAGGAGGTGTGTGCTTGTTTTTCGCAGTCATTAGGACTACTGTTTTTAGATTGACTGACTAAATATAGTAGGCAAATCTTTGTTCTAAATGCACTGAAAATCTAAACCTGAGAAACAGTAATACAAGTTTTACTAAGTTTTAATAAAATGATTTACAGTGATGCTGTTTGCTAGCTAGTACGCTGACCATCCAATCAAAGGACGAGAAAATGCTGACGTTATCGTTAGCCAGCTAGATGGCCCTGGTGCTGCCGACTCTAAATCTGATTGGTTAAAGCAACGGTTTCATTGCCATATATTTAAGCTAACAGACATCTGCACTGTTGATTCTGAAGGCCTTAGGGCAGATTTCTTTGACCCTGGCAACACGATTGCTGAAATATGATTGGATAAAAGCTGTAATATAAACATACACTGCTGGAAGCAGTGCAACCAAGAGAAAAGCTATGAACTGAAGAGAATAGACTATTGGAAATAATTTAATACACATTCATGGAAAATTATATTAAAACTAAATTAGTGATTCTGATATTGTTTAGGCCAGCAGAGAAGGCTTTGCTGGCCCTGACGGCCCACCACTGCTCAAATCCAAAGAGATAGTCTTTATAAAAATTAAGAGTCATCCACACCCTCCTAAAATGGCTCATTCTAACACGCCCCCACATGTTTACGTCACTATGTGGGAAGATTTGCATAACGCCGCCCAAATGTTCACGCAAAGAAAGAAGGCGTAACTTATTCTCACTGTAGTATTGTTGTTGTTGTTGTGTGTTTTGTTGTGAAAGTGAAATTACTTTGTGGATGTTTTGAGGATGTATGAGGACTGTTTCCTGAACCAGTAGCCTAATGCGTCTGTGGCACAAAGGTTGTTTCTATAAAGTTGGGCAGTTCCAACTTTGCAAGGACAGTCTGGCGCTTCTGACTCACAGCCTGCAAGTACATTTTTTATATTTAAATAATTTGCCACTAATGATTCAAACGCGAGTTTTGAGCAGTGTAGAGTAGCGCTTGTTGTTTCTCCGATCACAAATGCAGACATGGTTTTATGTTTACGAAGGGCAATACGCAACGCAACGCGTAAAAAGACAGTATAAGTCATTAAAATCAGTAATTATGTCCCCACTGGATGCAACAAATGCCTTGTTTGTAATGGGTTTTATTGGTTTTGTCTCGTCTAGTTATGTCTGGATCACAAACGAATCGTTCTATCTTCTTAGTGAACCCGTCAAACCAGTCTCGTCCTGCTGAGAGACGGCATCACAGTCACTGTTACCAACTCTTGCGAGACAAATAAGCAACCACTGCTTCAAAAACAAGCCCAATATTTTTTGATGATTTATTATCATCAATATTATTTATTATCAATTATTTATTACCAATAAATGAGCCTGCAACATATTAAACTGAAACCACTCTTTTATCTGAAAAGAAAAAACAGAAGCTATTTTAAAAAATGGGAACAAAACTAATCTCCAATCACCTGTGTGCAAAGGAGAAAAACACAAGAGCTTCAAAGAGGAGCTGTAACATAGCCACATATTTATAGCCTACTAAAATATAGGCTATTCGAACCATATTTACTCTTAGTATTAGTATAGGACTACTTGTTTTTTATTACAGCCTGTGATAATTAATACATGACAAAAACATTGTGAAAATTAAAAAATAGGCTGAAAGAAAGTCATCCCACTCCTCTACATCTATTTCTATCATCGCTTGGATTACAGTGTCACGCGCCTTCTTTTTGAACGTGATTTTCTCCAATGAGGGGGCGGAACATTTGGCAAATTACGCTGCAGCACTTATATTATTGCACTGGTTGGCTATTAACTGCGAGCAGACAGAGTGTCATTCAGTGCATTGGAGAATACGGCGAACATAAATAAAAAGGGAAATCTGACAAGCAACTTTGTTTAACAAGCAACCATATTTTTTTTAAAAAGTCCAGTGTCATTCAGTGCATTGGAGAATACGGCGAACATAAATAAAGAGGGAAATCTGACAAGCAACTTTGTTTAACAAGCAACCATATTTTTTTTAAAAAGTCCAAAAAAAA